CCTGCCTCTCACTCAACACAGGTATAGATGATACAAGCAAAACACATACAGAAGCTTCTTTTACCTCCTCTGTTTGGCTCCTATTTCTGAAAAAACTACTAAATATATTTTGCACTGGAGCTCACTGCTGCCACTGTGATTTTCCTTCCTCCCTAACATCCTCCAGCAGATATACTGCAGTTTTTTTTCCACAATACAGTTTCTTCATGACACAACACGGGCACGTGCACGCGTATACACACACACACACACAAGTATATATGCACACGTACACACACACACACACTCGTCCTCATTATTAAACTCTTTCTTTTCCAACAGCAAAGAAAGTTTAGGCCAGAACTAAGATTCAAACACAAGAACCTTGTTCAAGTGTTCAACGCGGCCATAACTCTACCCAGAAGCAAATCTGACAAAATGGAATTTGTTGTCATAGAGAAGGATTTTCCCCCATACTATATCATTTGTCAAGCAACATTGTCTTTTCTCCCACTGCTGCATAATCACATAATAAAAGCCCCAGATGGAATTCTTGTACACAAGAGGGCGGACTTATGGTTGATAAGGGACCCTTTCTTTATTTGCATTGCTAATAGTTTTTTTAAAGAACAGGCAAAGTGCTATATGTAGAAGGATAAAAGACAAAAAAGAAAGTTCCTGTTTCTGTTTTTATTAACAATGTGGCATAATCAACTGGTACTCACGGATCTCATCCAGAAACCTTTCTTGTTCCCATTTAAATACAAGGAGCATGAAGCTAGTGCCCAGCACGGAATCCTATTAAATTCTCTCCCTTCTAACACCAAGGCCCCCCCCCCTCCCACAACTAATGGCTGTGTTCCATACACAGCACATCTTTTAAAGTCTCCATGCTGTTCCTTCTGCCTGGGACTCTCTTCCTTTCTCCTCTTCCGGCAAAGTCAAACACAGACTTTGCACAAACCTATATACAGTGGCACTTAGCTCATAGTAATGGTTCAATGTCTGCTTCCCGTGAACTAAACGTGAAACCTCTATAGCCTCCACAAAGAGCATGGCATCTGCCACATAAGAGATGATCAATTATTATTTGTGGTGTTAAATGGAGAGATGTTCTCTAAAATACACTGGGCAGCTCACTGCGTTAAGCATCCGACTTTGGCTAAGGTCATGATCTCATGGCTGCTGAGTTCGAGCCCCATGTCAGGCTCTTTGCTGACAGCTCAGAGCCTGAAGCCTGCTTCAGATTCTGTCTCCATCTCTCTCTGCCCCTCCCCTGCTCACTTCCGCATGCATGCTCTCTCTCTCTCAAATATAAAAATTTTGAAAAATAAAAAAATTTAAAAAAAATAAGATAAAATAAAATACATTGCATTATGCTGTAACTTTACTGGCTGCTTCCTACTAGCCTCCAAATATCAGTGCGGTCAGAGAGGAACTCAGCACCAGAGTACCTCTCAATGTCAAGTGCTCTGGAGTAGAGCAGCAAAGCCTCAACAACACAGGCGGATCTCGTGAGGCGGCTGTATTGCTAAAGTGTGTCAGTGGCTGGATGCCTGGAGCTCCCAGTGCCCTGAGACTCACACCCCTGACCTTACATGCTACCTACTCTCTGAGAACTCTGGCTACAAAGATGCCTTCACATTATTCACAGACACTAAGGAAGACCAGTATCCTGCCTCAGCTGCTCACTCTCCCTCTGCCACCTGGTGTCCCTGAAATTCACAAGACTTCATGCAGGCTGTAGGTCCACAGTATACATCTTCTCTGGGACCAGTTTTCACTAGCTGACGCTCAAAGGCAAGTTTAATAGTGTTTTCCTGCTCCAATCTCCTACCCCTTGGCTATGCGGTGCCTATGAGAATCAATCTATAAAGCTTTAATAGCAGAAATAAAGCTTTATGCTGACCGTTTTCCTTAGACCACAACAATAGCTCCCTTCAAACTACCTAAGCATGCACTACACACATGGGTAAAAGATCACAGGGGCGCCTGGGTGGCTCAGTCGATTGAGCATCCGACTTTAGCTCAGGTCATTACCTTGCAGTTTATGGGTTCAAGCCTCGCGTCGGGTTCTGGGCTGACAGCTCAGCCTGGAGCCTGCTTCAGATTCTGTGTCTCCCTCTCTCTCTGCCCCTCCCCTGCTTGCGCTCTGTCTGTCTCAAAAATAAATAAATTATTAAAAAAAAAAAAAAAAAGATCACAAATGTGGTCTGCCAGACCCAAGAGTTCCGGAAAGTGTAATAACTCTTAAAGGTTCACAGGTTCCAGACACTAAATCTAATTCCATATGCTGAGTTGCGGCTTTTAGAATCCAGTGAGACCTAAATCTTGGTGACATTTGCCTTTTTTGGTGCCAGTGTTCTGAACTGGGTAATCTCTTCTTGGACTCTGCTTCTCACCTTTTTCTGTCTGCTCACCTCTGGAGTCAGCTTTGATAAGACTTGGCCACTGTGCGTAAGGTAAGCCTGGGCAATGGGGCTTTGTTCTTCAGTGAAATAGAATTATCTTCCAATTCTGCTGAAAGAAACCTGGACACTGATGACTTAATGCTGTTAAAAGTCCAGAGAGCATCTGAGATGAAAGTGCAAACCGCACTGCCAAATGTTATATATGTACAAGGGATGACTGTGAGAAATTTTAACTTTGAGGGACTTGATGCTGGACTCCACTTAAAATGATTTTATGTGATTTTATGAAGGCTGTGGGTCTTCAGTGCAGTCCAAAACCAAAAAGGGGAGTTCTGATTACAACCCTTCAGGGGAACACAAAGTCAGCATGGTCTGATGCCCACAACATAGACTGCTCGAAATGTATAGTCCTCGTAAACTTAGAGATCATCACTGAGTTTTTTTCAGTCTCGCATAGCACTTTGCAGTTCACCGGTTCTGAGTTGCCTAAACGACACTTTAGACGTGATCAGGCCCATCATTTAAGCATCTGGAATGCACTCATTCATGCAAGCATACATCAGGTACCAAAAAGTCTAGTTCAAGAGCCCTAAAGATAAACCAGAGCCTTTTATAATATGGGCCCTTGGGTTTTCTTCATTGATGGTGGAATAGAAAACTAGTCCCCTAGTCTCCTGCCGCTGTAAGTGGCTAAAAATTGGAAATACTCCTGCAATCGGCATTCATGGTAAACCACAGCCAAGAACCAAGAACCCAAGGAAAACTTCACATCCCCCCAGTGCGATGGAAGCCCTCTGGGACCTATAGGAGCCGGGGAAAACCTTTCATTTCCAAAGCCCTTCTTCTAGTCCTGCTTCCAAAGCCAATGCGATCTGCATTATCTCACACCCAAAAGTTAACCCACGAGCTAGCACCCTTCACCACCCGAAGGAAAGGGGCCCACACTTGTCAGGCATCCCACTACCCACTCCAGAGTGATCCCATCTTTTCCTTGAAAACCTCTCCATCCTGTTAGGGGGGGTTGTTTCCTTTCCTCACCACCCTTGAAAACCCACTAACACGTAGATGGTGAGGACTTTTGCCTCTCCGTTCTGGCTAATCTTCTGCCTGGCGTGGAAGTAAGAGGACCTGGCTCGATAAATCTGTGCTCTCGTCAAACGATTTTCACTGAAGGAAAAACACTCTTGAAAAATAAAGGTACACTAAAATGTGTGAAACCTTAAAGCCAGGTTTGTTTGTTTTTTCTTTTATCCCCAGTGAGGACTCATGCCCGTGAGTAATTCATTCATGTCACCCATTTGTGAGAGATGAGAAAAGAAAACACCACTTGTGCTGTTCCTTATTTAGAACCTTCCCCTGTCTGAAGTCGACCAAAGCTGATTCCTGGGAAGCGAAGACAGGAGAGGTGAGGAGGAAATTTAGCCTGAGGTGACTGCCTCCACCGAGTGAATGAGCACTCTGGGTTTCCACCTGTGTCTGAGAGGAACCGATCTGCATTTAGGGGAGGTGACCGCCCCGCAGCCACCCCACCTCATCCCCCCCAAGAAGGAAGCAGGAGCCTAGAGCTCTCTTGGGGGAACTTACATAAGACCCTGTAAAACTTCCTGTGACATTCACGGAAAATGTAAGCTATTTTCCTCCCTCAGGAGATCATTTTAATGGACTGAGTGACAAAATTCTCCAATTCGGGATTCAACAGAAACCTGCTCAACCGAGGTACATCAGCCCGGGGAACGAAAAAAAATCCATCCCCATTAAACAGGGTCACCAGGGGGGATGGATTCAATGTAGGAGAGACAATCTGTTCCCTCCTAAGTGACCCATTTAAAATCAGATTGTTCCAGGGAAATCTCATAGGTTTAATAAATTTCAAACAGGCAAGGACAGGCTCACAAGACTGAGGTCCCTCAAAAGGAAAATTAAAAAGAAAGTAATAAAGCAATCAACAAAATAACTTCAGGATGCACAAACTTTGGAGTCAGCCACTCTACCCTCCAGCAACGGTGCCATTCACAAGAAAACCTGCATGATATATACCGATCGCTCATCACAAGCAGGTTTGCGGAAACAGGACTGACACTCTGGGTAGGTTTGTCTCTCTACAGACATCGCCGTCACCCAACCACTCTGTCCTATAGAGGGACTCGGAAGCTGTGGCGGCTCACCCTAAATCGCCACGACTCTCCGCAACAAGGAGCAAAGAAAAGTTCTTCTCGCAGCACCACACCAGGAAAGGCAGGTGAGGATCACCGAAGAGGGACAGCTAAAAACACAGCAGGTTCCCCAAGGCGCAGGTACCCACAGCAGACAAGCTGCGGGGGGTTGGAGAGGTGGGGTGCGGACACACCACCTCCCGGTGCTGACGGGAACCTCCTCCTTGCTTGCTCCCTGTTAAACAGCATATGTGCCTAGTAGCAAGACAGTCATGAGAAAGGGTCCTGGGGACATCAAAGACTTGGGGACTTCCACTTCCAGCTTGTCCAGGGCTCCTGGCCCAGACAGCTGAGGGTGTGCCCTCGCAGGGAGTACCAGCTACAGGTTCGGAGAACTTGTCCGGCGCCGCTCACCAGGGCACCCCCGCGGCGGCTCTCAAACACCCCGAGCTCTTACCTTGGCCGTGACTGCCTCCAAACAGGGGGACCGTGGAAGAGCTGGGTGGCGCGGCGGCGCCGCCGCCGCCGCCTCCGCCTACGAGGCGCAGAGGGGTCCGGGTCGGGGTCCCAGCAGGCGCTGCCCTAGTTCAAGCGACGGTGCCAAGCGCAGACTTCGGGGCGACCCCCGCCTCCAAACGCTGCGGGGAGGGCCCGGGCCGCCCAGGCTGAGCACTGTCCCTTCTTCCTCTCCCTCCGGCGCCGCTGCCTGGAGCTGCTCCCCGCCCTAGGGACTCTTCCGAGCCGGGGGCGCCCCACATGGGCAGGGGCCTGCGTCCTCCTCGGGCCGGGTCCGGGAAGGGGGCGCTGGGGAGAGACGCGGGGCGGCCGCCGGGGCCGGCTCCACCTCCCGCGCTCCCCGCCGCTTCGCCCCTTCAGGGCAGGGCCTGCCCGCTCCCGGCCCCGCGAGGCGAGCGCGGCCGCGCCCCCAGCTTCGGGCGCCCGAGCTCCGCGCGGCGGCGGGGCAGCAGCAGTCTGGCCGGGCCGGACGCCGAGCGCGGCTGCACGGAGGCTGCAGCCGGCCGCGGCGCCCCCTCCCCCCGGGCCTGCGCCGCCCGCCCGCCCGCGGCTCCGCGCTTAGGAGGCGCTGGAGAGGGCCTCGCCCCGGCCTGGGGCGCGGGGCCGGGGGCGCGGGGCCGGGGGAGGCGCCCCGGGAAGGTCACCGGAGCGGAGGCGCGGCGCGGCGCTGTGGGTGCGGGGAACCGGGGCGGGCGGCCCCACTGCCGCCGGGAGCGCTCGCCGGCCTCGGCCGCCGCCGCCGCCTCTGAGACGCGCCGGCTTTCCCGAGCGCCGGGCGCTCGGAGCTGGGCGGCCGCTGCAGCCGCCGCCGGCAGCCGGGCGCCGCTGGCCGGAGCGGGCGCGCGATCCCCGCCTCCCGCGCTCGGCCAGGCGGGGGCCGCCGCGCGGGGGCCGGCGGGGGGGGGGTGGCGCGCGGGCGGGCGCTGGGGTCCGGGCTCCGGGCTGGCCCCGCCGCCGCGTGCCCAGAGCGCCGGGCTCGCTCAGCAGCTGCAGTGACTGTGTGTCTGTGTCATGTCTGTGCAGCTGGGGGGGACCGCGAGCCCGGGCCGGGCTCCCGGCGGGGGCGGGGCCAGCGCGCGCCTGGGCGCCCGCCTCCACCCCGTGACAGCGCGACTGGCCAATGGCAAGCGCCGTAGCCGCGCGGACCGAGAGGCCGCCCCTGCCTGGGCCACGCCCCCTCCCGCGAGGCTCCTCCCTTCTACTTCTCCAGCTCGCTCGCACACGGGCGGAAGCAACACCCGGAGCCGGAACTTCGGCCCGGGTTGGGATGAAAGGGTGCAAGCTGGGAGCTCCCCGCCCTTCTTCCCCCACCCCGGCCGCTCCCGGCCGCCTCGGGCTTGGCCCGCCTCGCGGAAAGAGGGGGAAGGGAAGAGGGACGGGTCCGCAGCTGCCGCTGTCGAGACACCGGCAGGCTCACGGGGCCGTGCAGCCTGCTTACTCCCCCTTGTACAAAACCGCCGTCGTGGGAAGTAGGAAGTTTCCCCGCCTCCACTTCTACTTGGGTCGCCGCTTCTCTCCGAGGTGGGCCGGGTACGGGGCAGCCTGCGGCTGCGAGGAGCCACGAGGAAGCGCTCAGGCAGCATTATTTGGAGCTCTGTATCAAAGAATCCGGTCCAAAGCTTCCTGTCCTTTCGGGGAAACTGCATTTCTTTGCCCCCACCCCCCCCAAGACACACACCCATGCACGCATGACATGCCCCTCCCTGTTCCAATTTCATTCTTGCTCTCCGTCCTGGCGGAAGAGCCCGGCGCGCAACATCGCACTGAATGGACTGCCAAAGCCTCCCAGTCCTAAAGCCGCGAGTGGGGCGCCGAGAGTCCTCCGAAGCTACGGAAGGAGTGCGTGACATCGGCTGGGCACAGGGGCCGGGGATGTGAGCGTGGATGAACGGAGGAGGCCTGGAGAGAAAACCCAAAGGAGGGGGAAACAGGCCTGGAGAGGAGGAGAGCGCAGAGGGATGGGCAACTCTGCCTGGGAGACCAGCGCTCCGGCGCGCGATCCAGCTCCCGGGTTTTTCCTCAGCTCGGTCCCAGGGCTTCTGGGGTCCCCTTCCTTCCCCCCACCCCCAGGGTCCCCACCCGTCCCCAGCCCGGCGGGCGCCGGGTCCCAGCCTCGCCTCCGCTCGCCTCTCTCTCGGCCCTTGGGCGCAGAAGAGGCAGCGGGAAGCTCGCCGTACTCTTGGAAGGGGCAGGGGAAGAATGCAAAAGCAGAGATAAAGTGCAAGGCGAGGGTGGGGGGTGCGTAAGAGGAAGATGCCGAGCTCGGGCTGCCGGACTGACCACACTCCCCAGAGGTCAGGCTGAGGGCCCCAGGGTTTCGAGGTTTGGCCCCTCGCTCGGCTTCGGACCTGGCTCCCGCCAAGTAACCTCGCTCTTGGCCTTCCGTTCGACCCAGCCGGGACCCTTTCGCCATCCCCTCCCTTTCCTCCAGCCTCTTTAGGCAAAGACCCCCGGCCCCAGGGCCCCCCACCCCACCCTTCGAGCATCACCACCGGCTTTCCCGCAGCTCTGGAGCGCCCTTTACCTAATCTCAGCGGCAGATCCAGCAGAGGAGAATGCAAAAAGACGGTAGCGGTTACACGGCGGCGTCCCCGGCGAGGAAGTAAAATACGTTTGCTCTGGAGCTTGAGGATAAGTTAACTGCGAAGCTGGGGTCCTGCTGCCTTATCTCCGCGGGAATGAGTCTCACCCTGCACATTTGCAGGGATTGGAGATTGTATCTGGCTTCGATGTCACTAGTGTGTCGGAGAACTTAGATGATAAAATATTATCTAATATCCTAGAGACCATTAAAGTGTCAAAGTTTAATGTCAATCCTTTTAGCTCGAATGCTTCTCCGTTCTTCCTCTGACGTGCAGCTCTGTTCTAGAACGCGCTGAATGCAAGGGGATCATTTTCATTTTTTGCGGGTGGACCGTCCTTCCTACTCTTCTTCCTCCCGTACTCCAACCCCACCCCCACCCCCCACCTCCCGCCCCGGCAAACTTAAAGCAAGAATTTGGGCTTTCTTTTTTATCCATTGCTTTGCTTCATTTGATTAGTGGTGTAAAAATGCATTATTACAATATATTAGCATAGTAATAAGGGCAACGTGACTGAGGAAGGGGAGAGAGACCTGAAATTTACAAGCAAAGGAGAAATAATGGAATAATATCAGAAACTAAAAGATAAGCATGTGGTAAAGAAACATCTCCATTATAATTACCCAGTGTATTGCATTCTCTAGATTGGATTTTAGAGAGAAAAATAAGACCATAGTGAGGCACGGAGCAGCACTCACTCTGGTCAATAAGATACACTGAAGACATATTTCATTATTAGGGGATTTCACAAAAATTCCTTGCATCAATCAATAGGCACCTTAAACGGGTAGAAGCTTTGTTCTATCAATTCAACGTTGCAGTTTTGAACCTAGTGGCCTATCTAATGTTCTAAACGATAGGAATGTTGTCAGTTCCACAAACTGAGCCCTTCTGTTAATATCATGGGAAGCCCCACATTAAAAGAATTCCTTTGCCCCACCACAGATAGGTGTGTGTGTGTGTGTGTGTGTGTGTGTGTGTGTGTAAAACCTAAGGTAAGATGTACTTGCCTATGAATTATAGCCCTTTGACACAAACCAGGATATAAATGTCTTAAAAGGAGTTCATCTCTGACATAATATAGTATGAGGAATGGAGAATAAAATATGTAAGGTGATATATCTGTTACTTCTAGAGAATCTACACTGCTTTTGCTAAGAACTGAGAAGTAAAAAATATTGAGCCCTCTAAACCAACTGTTACCTATTTTTTTTCCCACACAGTTATTGTACCTGTCACAGGAGAGATTCAGAAAGGTCTCTCTTTTTTTAATCAGGGTCAAGGAGACCGAATCCTTAAAAATAAAAAAAAAATTTTAAGTCTTAAATCAGCCACTAGGGGGCCCTAAAGGCATCTCAAAGAGGAAGCCTGGAACCCTGCTCTGCCCTCTGCTTTTCCTCGTCTCATTTTTTGTGTACACCAAGGATCTGGAATGGAATAAGAACATGATGCAAAGTCTGGAGGCAGACTGGTTTCACGTTTTTTAAAGAAAAGAGTTCCGTTTGCCCAATTCTTGCCTTGCCTCCCAATAATAATAATAATAATAACAACAGTAAAAGAATATTGCACTCATCCAGACGAAGGTGGCCTGATACTCTTACTATCTTAATGTCACCCAATTAATCTTACTATTCCAAATGGACTCTTATTCTAACATTTTAGAGCTGTTTTCTGGATGTTTTGAACATTGTTCAAGTGCAAGGTAGGGAAACTAATGAATGCTCAGTCGGGTGATATGAAAATTCTATAACCTATAATAGCAGGGCACCTACCAGCCAACTTATGGGAAATCAAATCAGCCATGGGGCACCAGCACTAGAACAGACTCTGCGGTTGCCTGGTACGCCCAATATTAGTTCTTTGGTGCTGGATTTGGTGAAATGGTGGTGGGAGGAAAGAATAGTTTGGGCAGAGGACTATGGCAGCTGGGGTAGAGACACAGGGGGTGGGGACTTACTGCAGGGGACACTTAACAGCCAACATGGCATCATTTCAATATTTTAAACAGAAATGTTATATTTGTCAAAATAACTGAATATCAGGCTGATCATACATGAAGTTGCTCAAATTTTTTTGTAGACTTCAATATCTAGCAATTGAATGTTCAAGGTTTCAGAATCCTTAGCAGTCACACACGATTTTTCCCACCTCTTACCAATAAATAAGGTTGCAATGCCCTTCCAAGGGTCAAGAATCAAACAGCACTCAGGTTGCATAGATATAAAGAAGATTAGTTATCCTTCGGCCAGTGCTGGAGAACTATCTGCAAAAGCTGGCTTATCCTGATACATTTCAAGGGAAAATGTAAGGTGTGGGGCAAGAAACAGTCCTCTGTCATTCAGGTCAATAATCAAAAGACATTTCTGAGCGAAACAGAATGCCTCCATCACATCTAAGCAGGATACCAGCCACTTGCTAGCTGAAGAATTAAAGAACATTGCAAAAGCCACAGAATCAACACTAATGAAAGTGTGACTTGAACATAATTTAACTAAAAACAAAGCAAGTCTAGAATTGAGATGTGAGATGGGGAATAAGGATAAAGTCTTTCTTAGTGGAATGAAAAATAGTTTATGTTCCCATCATCATGTTCATTAAGCAGGCAACATACAGGTATTCTCAAAATAGCATTATTAACTTCTGGAAGACTTGACTCAAAACCTCAGAGGCAACTAATTAGAGCAAATTTGGCTCGAGATAGAGAATCCCATTGTCTTTAGAAGAAAGGGGGTTTATTCACTCACTGAATGTGAAAATCCATTAGAGTAAAAACCTTGTCAGGTATATAGCTCCCTGATCACCTTATGA